CAAAGTTGTTCTCTTTAATCAGGAAACATTTTGTGATATTTTGCATATATTTATATTTTTGTTTTTTTTATTTTTTATTATTTAATTAGAAAATACTTAAAAATATAATTTCTATTCTGACTTCAATTTTATTTTTACCAAGGGCCTCTAACTTCAGTTAGTTTATCATACTTGATTTTATATTTTCTGAATTTTATTATATTTTATTTAATTTTTTTAGTCGTTAATTGGCAGAATAATTAGAAAATTCATTTAAGTGTTTAAAGCTGTTTAGGTTTGTTTTCCTTAAACAGGGAGCTTTTTGTGATATTTTGAAACATATTAATATTTTTATGATTTTTAATGATTTTTTAAATTGAAAAAGACTTGAAAAATATATTTTAAATTTTAAATTTAATTTTCTTTTTTCATAGGTCCTTCTAACTTTAGTGAACTGATTAAACTTCATTTCAAATTTTTATGAATATTATTTTATTTTCTTAGAATTACTTAAATGGACAGAAGTGATTAATTTAGAAAATTAGAGTTTTTAAGGAGGTGATTCAGAGTTCAGAAAAATCAAGAAACATCTCTAATCATGTAAGGAGTAAATTCTTAAAATCCCAAGTCATGGTGAGTAATATATAGTTATTTTTTATTTAGATAAGTTTTAGGTTTTTTAATTAATTTGAAAGTAAATTGAAGATAAATATTTTTAATTTTTAGTTCACTAAATTCTCCTCTGTTCACTAAACACGGGAGTATTTTTATTTTATTTTTCTGATTTTTTTACACAAAGAAATGATTTTTTTGAAGTTATATGTATTTAATTAAATAAAAAAACACCCTAATTTCCTACTTACCATCTTGGTGCCACGACATCCTCCGTGTCTTCGAAAGACTATGCAACGGCTCTCCAATTGCAGCGCTTTTCGCTCGTGTGCTGACTCGACCCTCATTCTGCTCTCCTTCATATGCCTCGATCCATCTTCTGACCTGATCCACACTGCTCACTTCAAATATACGCGAATGGACGACATCCACTCATCATCCTAAATGAACCCTAACCTGAGAGTAGTCCACACTCAAACACTAAGATCTCTCTCAACTCTTAACCAAATCATATGGGGTTTGTTCCTACACCATCATCTAAGTGAGGCAAACACATCATACGGCTAGGTAGACATTGACTATTCATTCCCTTCATAAAATACCAAACTAAGGCCAAAACAGGAGTTTTTGAGCTATACCTTTGTCTAAGAGGTGAGGCCTCAATTGGATGGTTTAAGAAGCTCGCCTTGGTCCCATGAACCTCCTCTAAGCATCGGTTTGCTATGTGGTTGGGTCTAAGTATGATTTAGACCAATGGGTGGATTGAGCTTGGTCTTGAGCTATGTTTGAGGCTTCGAGAGAAGGAGATTTGATTGGGGAAGTACTTTTGAGGTGTGGGGAAGCATTTAGAGTAATCAATTTAGAGTTCTGAATAAGTAGGTGAAATGACCAGAAACCCCTGGTATTTCAATGGGAAAAATAGGGTTTTGAGGTTGTTTTGATGGCTTAAAAATTAAGAGAATGAGCTTCATGTGAGTGTGGTAAGAGTGTGGAGTGATTTTGGCAGCATTTTTGCAAGTTTTGTACACTTGTCTCATATGGTCCAAAGGGGTGGTGTATTTGTAGGCTCGGTCGCGGTGGTCAATTGGCCAAGTCAAGGGGTCCAAGGGGGAGCTTATGTGGAAAGAATACAGAGGCAAGTGTTTAATTGGAGTAAGTCACATTGGATGGGTGGAATTCAGTATTTTTGACCATGGTGGTGCTCCTCAGCTTTGGGTTTTTCGGTGGCTAGGGTGGCCAGCCAGACCATGGGAGGTCACCATCTCTCTGTGGGAGGTCACAGGTGGAGAGTTTTGAAGCCAATTGGGTCCAAACATGGTTAGGTGTTGAATCAAAGTGTAAATAAGTTTAGGCTTGGCTTGGGTTTGAATTGGGTTCAGATCATGGAAATGGATTTGGCTCACTCGGCTTGGTGACTAAGGCTGGTGGCGATCAGCTTAATTGGTGTGGTTAAATCCCCATCATGTGAATTTAGGTTAATTATAGGTTCAAGTGAAACATTAACGTGGTTAAGCACAAATGGGGAAATCATTAAAGGATATCCTCCATTTGCCATTTAAGGCATGATGAACTTTTCATGGCTTAAATGGCTCACATGTGGCGTGGAGGAGAGCTCATGACTTGTATATGGCTTGGGTATTTTCATGAAGATGGAATTTAAAAATAAATGAGGAATTTATGAGGTGTTTCCATGAAGTCAAATTTGATTAATTCCAAACATTAATTTTAGAACATCAGGTTTGCTTTTAATCGAATTGATGAGAGGGGAATTTCATATCATGTGGGCTTTTGATTTTTAAAGCGATTAAAAGTTGGGCTTAGTTAGGTGGGCCTTTAGGATGAGTTAAGAGAAACTGAATTTGGGCTTGGATTTCATATATTGTACACTTTTTTTTGGGATGAAAAGTTTAATTCGTTAATCTATATAGATAATAATTTTAGGTATTAATAAAAATATTTTATAAAATTTATACATTATCTTCAATGTGCTCAAAAGTGTTTTCAAATTAAGAGTCAGTTTGGGGCAGAGGCAAAGCAGCGATGCAGTATTGCACTGTGTTTTTGAATTATTTGGGGCTGCGCTGCCTCCATGGCATGCGGTATTTTAACAATTATGCAGGTCGTCTCACTGGCCCCACAACCCAGCGTCCACGTTTAGCTTTTTGCCTACGTGCCCTCTATTATCTTGCACTAACTCGAATTGTTCAGCTTTATCTTCTGCCCGATCTGGAAGCTGTGATCTGCTCCTCTTCCTCCTCTTCTCTGACGTAACTCATGCTACCTGGTTCCTCTTCAACCTCTTCTCCCGTGTTTCTCACACTGCCATGTTCGTTTTCTTCGTTTTCCTCCTCTGTTCCCCATTGATAAGCACTTTTTTCTTTTCTAACGAGTGTGAATGCTTCTTTGGTGGATTTGTGATATTAGATGTGAATGTTGTTCAGTGATATGGATGTGTGATATATTGTTGTGTGGCTCGAATTTGTTGTATTGCTTGATTTTTCAGTTGATGAGACTCTGTGCATGTGGCAATTTGAGTCGAATTTCTTGTATGCCTCAAATTTGTTGTGGATGAGCCTGTGTGGGTCTGGCTGTGCGGCTTGAATTAGTTGTATGGCTTGGATTTACTATGTTTGAGGCGTGTGGGTGTGGTTGTGTGGCTCGAAGAACCGTGAAATTTGGCTTTGTTGTTGTGTCAATCGAATTTGGCGATGAATGTGATTGTGGCACGAAGTTGCTTGCTCAAATTTGGTGGTTTTTTCGGTTGTGACTGTGGTGTGTCGTGGGTTCTGCTGCCTGTAGTAATCTTGTTGGTGGCATTGTTGTGCTGGTGGTTGTTGTGTTGGCGTGTGGGGCATTTGGTTGTGCTGGTGGCTTTGGCGCTTGTGGTTTAGGGTGTGCTGGTGGTGTAATTTCTTGTGTTGGTTGTTATGCCTGAGGCTGTTGTGGTGTGCTGGTGGTGTGGGCTTGTGTTGGAATGGTTGTTGTGGTTTGCTGGTGATTGTTGTGTTGTGATGTTTATGGTTGTTGTTATTCTCTTGTCTTCTATAAACTTATCGTATTTTTGTAATGTACTGAATTAGTTTTTTGTTTCTCAAGTATCAAATATATTATTATGATAGTTTTGTTGCAAACAAAATTTCTGCACAAGGACAGAATGATCATTTATCCCGAAATAACTATCACGCAGCTATTTTCAAACTGTAAAAAAAAACAGGCAGTCAGTTTTTCCGCAGCAACTTCCTGACAGCAGATTCATGGAACAACTAAACTGCAACTGCCCCAAACATACCCTAAATTATTTTTTGGGGCATTTGCATACATACCGCCTACTTTTTAATATCACTCAAAATTTTCACCTCATCAAAATATCATCATTTTAACCTTTAAATGCATTTGTAGGATGATAACTATATAAAAATTAAAATTTAGGTGTAAGATATCTAAATACACAGGAATTGAGTGGTATGTAAGTCTTTCAATACTTTTTACGAGACTCAAATTTAAATGGAAAGATAATCGAAGCAATCGGATTAAATTTGGAATATCACAATTACATTAAATCGAAATCTGTCCTAACCAAAAGCCTGTTGCCAATTTACCATCTTCAGTACATTTTTATAGGATATTTTATTCACTACTTTTTCATCATCAATTAAAAAAATAAAATAAAATCTATTGTGCGGTTGAACTCAACTGTAGGGCTGTCAAAACGGCTTGTTGTTCGCGAACAGCTCATGTTCGGCTCGTTAAGAAGGTCGTGTTCGGCTCGTTAAGAAGCTCATGTTCGGCTCGTTAATTTTGTTCGATAAGTTAACGAGCCGAACACGAACTAAGATGTGTTCGTTCGTGTTCGGCTCGTTTTGGCTCGAAATATTACTCATCAAGTTTATATATATGTGTGTATATATATATATACACACATACATACATCAAGTAGTATTTAAAAAAAATCCATACATACATCAAGTAATATTTAAAAAAAATCTAATTGACTACAAGAGGTTTATAATCAATTAAAATATTGATTAAGAAAATAGAATAAAAATTATTAAATTAGATTCAAATGATGTTTTAATATAAATAATAATTTTTAAATATTGCTCAAATCCTTATTGTCTTATGTCTTATGAGTACATGATTAGGGTTGTTAAAAGGACTCTTTGTTCGTGAACAGCTCGTTAAGCAAACGAGTCGAACAAGAACACACTTTTTGAGCTCGAAATATAAACGAGCCGAACACGAGCAAAGCATGACTCACTCGTGTTCGACTCGTTTACACCCCTACTCTTCTGCTGCGTCACGAGTGCAGAACCCTCCGCTATCTCAATTTCTTCATATGGCGTAATGCTTTTAATTTTCTTTTTATTATATATTTTTTTTTCGGGAGAAACTTCAAGTAAAGTTAATTCTACACGCTTTATTTCTGCCACCGATTCTCGGCCCCACTTCCTGAAACTGCATCCACTTTTATTATTTTATTATTTTTTAAAATCCAACCTTTATGCCACTCACTGCTATAAGCCTCGGGTTATTAAGCCCTTCAAGCCTCTTCAGTGTCTACTATTCTCATTCGTCCCTTCTCGTTTGGTTGCCTTCTTACCCGCTTCTCACAATAAAGCTTCCTTACAGGCCAAACAATGCGAGACTGAGATATTTGTGGCCGCTTTCCCATAGAAGCTCAAGTAGAAAGTCAGAGAGAGAAACAACATTTGGTGTTTTCTTATATTATCTCCTTGTTAGATCCTTCGTTCCATTTCTGCAGTATAGTTTCTCCAAAGAAAGGATAAGTGAAAGAGAAGGAAGGATTCTTCTTCCCATCTTATCTGTTGTATGAAATGTATATGCTTTCAGAATCAGCAGAATCTTTGTCGAGCTTTCGAAAAATTCCTCCTTAGGCTGCCAAAAATCCTTCTCTGATTTCTTTAGCTTCTCAAGGCTTCACATTTCTTGGAGCAGCAACTCTCCCCTGCAGCCAAAACAGAAAAAAGGAAGACAAACAAAAAAGTATTTTGGGGTTTTTTTTTTTGGAATCCCAACATATCTCCCCGCCTTTCTACTTCCTTATTGTTTTAATAATCATCCCCCTCTTTCTTTTGGTCTCTCCAGCGCATTAAAGAACAGTTTTCATATTAAAAAAATCATTAAAGAAAACAGAAAAAGTGCAAAAAGCTTGAGTGAGGGGGGAGAAGAGAATGGATCTTTTGGTACATGATGGAGAGATCCCAATCCCAATCAGCAGCAACTATGTTGGTGGCAGTGGAAGCCATATCCCAAGCCAAAGCCACAACTCCCTTCCATTTCACCATCATCATCTTTCCAATGTCTCAGCTCTACCTCTTCATTCCTCTCCTCCACTTTCCTACTCATCTCCATTTAACGACAAGAAGACTGTGGCTGTCAAGTATAAAGAATGCCTCAAGAACCATGCAGCCTCCATTGGTGGAATTGCCACAGATGGCTGTGGTGAGTTCATGCCAAGTGGGGAAGAAGGCACGCTCGAAGCTCTCAAGTGCTCAGCTTGCAGCTGTCACCGGAACTTCCACAGGAAAGAGATTGATGGAGACCATCAGTCACCTTCTTGTGAGCAGTGCTTCAACTTCAAAGAAGGCAGAAAGCTCATCACCCAAAAAAACACATTTTTGTACAACCCAACAGGGAACAACCTAATGTTTTCAAAGCAATATCCACAGAACCAAATGATCTTACCTTTCAGTGCAATGCAGGCCTCTGAATCTAATTACATGGAAGGACGGTTTCCTCCCCCTGTCGTCAAGAAAAGATTCAGGACAAAGTTTAGTGCCGAACAGAAGGAGAAGATGCTGAGCTTTGCTGAGAAAGTTGGGTGGAAGCTACAGAAGCAAGAGGAGACTGTGGTGCAGGAATTATGCAATGAGATTGGGGTCAGGAGAAGAGTTCTCAAGGTTTGGATGCATAACAACAAGCATAACTTTGCTAAGAAGGCCAACAACCTTCAGCTGGAGTGACAGCTGCTACATTTACTATTGCAGATTTAAGATTTAAATTTTCTTAATTGATGGCTCCAGATCATAAATGATCCGATGAAAATTTTTAACTTTTGTTTCAGCGCCTTACCATTCTCTACGGATCTCTCTCTCTCTAATTATGTCAGAGCCCTTGAACTGACTTCCTTTAGTACTTATATTTATGCTCTAGTGTTGGTGGTGCTTAATAGCCATTAAACTTAACAGTTTACTATAATCTACAGTTTAGTTTTACATGATGTACAATTTCCAGTTCTTTCGGTCTTCTAATTTTTTGTGTGGGGCTATAACTTTCGGCAAAATTCTCTCAGAGGTAACAGCTGAGGAGATGATATCAGGATTTTCTTATTTCATCCAACCAGTTAGAGATATTAATTTTCTTTTGGGTGCTTCTTTTCTGCTAAATTAGCTTTTTGCACAATCACGATATTTTTAAAAAAATGTTGATTTTTTGTAAAACCTTATAATTAACGTGTTTTAACAAACGAATTTCGATGACATTATTTATAAGAGAAGGTAAATAAATATAGAAAGAGCTGTTGGTTAGCATTACTTTCTTTTGTGGTAGACGAACATAGGGCCAGTTGGTTCTCCGCAAGTGAAAGGAAGTGATAATTTGTGTTCTGCATGTTATTTCAATGTATCCAAGAGAATACAATGCGCTTCATTTTCTTTTATTTGGTTGTGCATGTACAAGGATGTGAAAATGGCTCATAATAATAATAATAATATAATAAGATATATATATATATATATATATATATATCTGTGTGTTCGCGAGTGAAACTTGCAGCAATACTATTTATAAATCTAGTATCATTTTTCATCAATTTTTCAACGTCCTATCATCCCATTTTCAAATTCCCACTCAAATATCAAAGTTGATGATATATCCCAACTTTTTTTAATTTAATGAAATTTTCAATGATTTGATCATAAAATGAACAAATGCACTGGTTTAATGGTTCAAAGCATCACTAGGGTGTTAGTTTTTTAAATATCAATGTTTCAAGTGTTGTGTATGTAATTATCCCAATTAAACAATTATGCAATACTTATTCTCATTATGCCTTTATTTTAATATATATTAAAGCACATTCTTTCAAAATGGTACTTTTTTTGTTATAGACATGAGTATTTACGAATAACATGAAAGAATATTATATTCATGTGTAACACTATCATGCACAATCATAAGAATAACATATTTAATTATGTTGATTTAGGTAACTTAAAAGCGCATTTCTCAATGACAAAAATATCCTGTAAGAGCACACGGGTGCCCAAATGCTCATCTGCCTTTCTATGTTTTTTTCCATAATAACAATTTTTTGGGTAAGAAAAATAAGAATTTTTTGACCTGAAATACACTATTCAACTACTATCGACCATTTATAAAAAAATGCTATAATTTGTTAGGGTTTGGGAGGTGTTTGTGCCTATGTGAACCCCTTGGAGATTGATTGAAATTGCCTATTTATAAGGTGGAAGGCGTAGTAGAGCCCTCCATGGTCGTTGGATTAAATTGAGGTCGACAACCATGATAAATTGAACAGTTGATCGAGTTACGAATCACCACTGATGAAACAGTATGGCGATTCCTTCTTGGATCCGTGGATGATGGCTGATGCGACTTTTTTATTTTCCTAATTTTATATATTCTATATAGTCACAATGATATAAATGCAGGTATACATATTGCTCAAGTAATATAAGACTTTCTGATTAAGCCCCGATTATCAATCGCACGAGGAAGCGAGGAAACATGTTCTTAGTCAAATTCCAGTTTACTATTATTAGTCCTTAGTTTGTAATGTTGATTAAAATGGTGTTTTATCTAGCAACTACTTCTAAATGCAATTTTTAAATATAAGTATAGTAACTATTCCTAAATGTAAATATTAAATTCTAAAGATAGCCGTTTCTAGATGAATTGGTTTGGAGAATTTTAAGATTTTCAAAAATACTATCCTTATGTAGTGAGTTGGATAATGTAAAGGAATGAGACACATTAAATATGGTATGTGCCAAATAGGAGCAACTTTAATTCTCTACCCTGATTCAGTGTTATAGAAAATCATTGACTAATCTCAGGTTTAGACCCTAAATCTGTGGCTAGGGTAGGGGGATACTAACTCCCACTCCAGAGCTCCCGCTTCCGTTCCCCTGAAGGCTAACTCTCGCTTTAGTTCTTTAAACACTACGACTGAATTGGGGATTTTAGTTTGTCACGCTAAAATCTCCAATTTTACGCCCATCAAAGTATATTTTCCGATTTATTTGCATCCAAACCCCATGAAATTCACCATCCATGGAATTTGAATGT